TGCCCAAATTACTGGAGCACAGATGTGTGAGCAAATAAATAGGTTGAAATTCAAAGTTGTATAGAAATGGATAATGGATAAGGGTGGCACACTACAGGAGAGCTAGATACAGCTGTTGTCCTGTAACAAACACAGAGGTAGAATTATTTGTTTGGGGGGACAGCTTTGTTCCCCCTTGAAAATTTCCCTGGCTTTAGAAGCTCTTCTTTCTCTTGTGTCCTCCACCTAGAGCTTCTTTCTTGTGTATATGGTAAAATAGCTTTTCAGTACATTTTCTTGGTTGAGAGAAACTTTGTCGTTGGTTGTAGAATAATTGTCATGTTATTTCTGTACCCCTCGATTCTATCATTTCCATTTTATGTATCTAGGATCAAAGAAAACATTCTTGAAAAATGGAAATGCAAAAATTGGAGTAGTTAAGACATGATATAATATTGACCATGGTGAAAGGGTTGTTAAATTTATACGCTAATTAAAACAGGCAGATAGATTAGTACTGGTCAACTTCACAGGGTGCCATAATATACACAGTACATACAATTATTTTCTTGTGAATTGCTTCATTTGAATCTCAACGGTAATCAGATTAGCTAAAGACTTTGGTAAAATAATATAATGAGGCATCAAAAGCAAAAATTATCCCATCCCTGCTGCCTTTAAGGGAGGCAGATCATAACCACAGCCCTTTAGATTTCTGAGTAATACTCCTGAAAAGAATGTAGACAAATATGTGAATTGAGAAGCAGCTATTTTTTTTAAAGGGAAATCCTCTAAAGGCCCATGTTACAAGCACACAGAGGTCATATAATAACAAGTTAGGATTTTCCAAATCCACACATCATGGGTTCTTATGACAGCTGAAGAACATCTGAAGCTGGAGAAAAAGAGACACGAGACAAGGACAAGAGTACTTTGAGGAAGGTCTTCAGCTCACAGTAAATTCCAGGGTATGAAACAAAAGAGAAGATAACCATGTGATTTTTCTTATAATTTATATAGCAGAATTCTTACTATCTAAAAGAACATCCTTCAAAAACAAACATCTAAAAATTCAGAGTCTGGGCTGAACACAGTGTCATTGAAACTAGTAAGTGCCATTTGCCTAAAGAGTCTTATAAAGTGGCCGGTCACTGTGGCTGGTTACTGTAGCTGTGATGTTGACTCAGCTGCCTCTTTTAGAATTCCTGCTGTTCTTAATTTCAAAGAGGCCCAAGGCCTACATACCCATTAGAGTCAATGTCTCCTGACCCCCAAACACTTGCACTATAACCTGGTGATCTGATCATATCTCCTTAGCATCTGCCATGACTCTTTTCCTGACTTAGGTTTTGCAACTTGGTTTCCACACAGTTATCATGAAGAAGACCTTCCTGATATCTTGCCCTTGGAATAGGTGGTGAAATTTCCGAGGAAAACATGTCTGTCTTTCCACAGAGCTTGAACACCAAAGATCAATTACTAAAATGAATAATCTACTTCCAGTCATCTTTCAGCAGCTGGATGATCAGTTTATTTTAAAGGATCTGGAGTGATGCTTCAGCAAAGAGCCCACTATATTAATTAATAGTTCATAAGCTAGGAGAGAGGCTGGTACAAAGCAGGTGCTCAAGAAATGGTTATCAATAAATATTAATGAGCCAACTCATAAGTATCAGCTGCTTGCTGACTACAGCATTTAGGACTTTACATAATATGGAAAAGATACATTCGATGACTTCTAAAAACATCATTGAGACCAGGTGATTCTAATCCACTGCACTGAATTGATGGATTTCTTTGAATCTAACCAAGAACCAGATTTTACCATCCAAATTCTGTTTTTAATTTTTTTGAGGTATACTTTTTAAATTATTTTTATTGGTGCATTACAGTTTTATATAATAATGTGATACATTCACATATGCACACTGCCCAATTTAGTCTGTTTCATTCCTTCATACTCCTCCTTTCCCTCCCTTACACTCTCCACAAAACCCTTCCTTTAGTCTATGGGTAGAATTTTTGATTAAGAGTCAGAAAAGGCCAGAAATAACCCATGCTTATGTGGTCAATTGATCTTCAACAAGACTACCAAGAATATACACTGGAGAAAGGATAGTCTTTTTCAATAAATGTTAGAAAAATTGGATACTCATGTGATAGTAAAAGCAAGTGTGACTCCATTTTGTTTTGTGACTCCATTCTATAAAATAACCATGCTAAGGAGAAGGGTCATGACTGGGGCAAGATGTTCTTTTCCTTTTGCTATAGAAACTTAAGAACACGGAACTACCTAATGGGGCATTGCTTGTGAAACTAGGGTAACAGGGCTCTGTTTCTGTAACTGGGGTGATTGGACTAATTGTGATTGGTTAGGCTTCCCTCCTCTTGACTGCACTGTCCCGCTTCTATAACCTGGCTTGCTTGCATTGGCTAGACCCCGAACATTCCTTTTGTGGTTTTCAGGCTTATAAGGAGCGCCCTGCAATTGTTCCGGGCTGATCAGGGGAACAGCTTTATGTTCTGGTCAGTGGTCACCGGTGTCTTCAATTTTAAGGCTTGATTCGATTATACATGAGTGGTCTGGAAGTTAGTTTATGAAACCCTGGGTCAAAGCTTTAACTATAACACTCAGAAGCAAAAAAAAAAAAAAAAAAAAAAGAAAGAAAGAAAGAAAGAAATTGAACTCTTGTCTCACATCATATACAAAATATCAATTCAAGATGGATTAAAGACTTAAACATAAGATCTAAAACCAGAAAATGTCAAGAGGATACAGGAAAAAAAAATTTTTTCTTGACATAGGCCTTGGCAATGCTTTCTCGGATATGACACCAAAAGCACAGATAACAAAAGCAAAAGCAAAATTAGACATTAAACTGAAACATGTCTGGATAGCAAGGGAAGCAGAAAGATGAAAAGGCAACCTACAGAAGGGGAGAAAATTTCTACAAGCCACAGATCCCACAATGGGTTCCTCTCCACAGTATATAAGGATCCTATAACTCACTGGCCAAAAATAGTAATAATAACCCAATTGAAATGGACAAAATAACTGAATAGATATTTCTCCACAGAAGACATAGGAATGGCCAACAGGGAAATAAAAAGGTACTCAACATCACTAATCATCAGAAAATACCAATCAAAACCACAGGGAGGTATCACCTATGCCAGTTAGGATGGTTATTCTCATAAAGACAAATAGATAACAAGTATTGGTGAGGATTTGGGAAAAAAGGGGAACTTTTGTGTGCTGTGGGTGGGAACATACATTGGTATGGCCATTATGGAAAATAGTACAGAAGTTCCTAGAAAGAAATTTAAAATTGGGCTAGCAGATGATCTAACAATCCCACTTCTGAATGTATATACCAAAGAATTCATATCAGGATCTTGCAAAGATATCTACATTACCAGGTTCATTTCAGTGTTATTCACAATACACAAGACACGAAAACAATCTAAAAGTTCATCAGCAGGTGAATGGGTAAAGAAAATGTGATGTGTATGGAGTATTATTTAGCCTTAAGAAAGGAGATGTTGCAATTTATGACAAAATGATGAACCTGGAGTACATTAAGCTAAATGGAATAAGTCAGACATAAAAGGAAAAATACTCTACAATCTCATTTATACAAGAATCTAAAATTGTCAAATTTGTTGAAGCAGAGATGGTATTTACTTTAAGTGCTGGAGGAAGGGAAAAAAACAGCAAGGTATTGGTCAAAGAATACACATTTCAGGTATGCAAAATGAAGAAGGTCTAGAGAGTAACTATATAGCACAGTACCTATCATAATAATAATACTATAGGATTCTTAAAAGTTTACTAATAGGATATATCTTGTATTGATGACAAAAGAGTAATAATTATAATACTTAAAGAAGAAGGCAGGACAAAACTTTTCAGGTAATGGTTATGTACATGGCATTAATTATGGTTATGATTTCATGTATACAAGTTTATCTTTAAACTCATAAAATGTATGTTTTAAATATACACAGCTTTTGGTACACTCGTCATATCTCAATAAAGTGGTTTACAAAATGCTTGTAACATTTGAAAAGACTATTTAAAAGAACTGCAAGACTAAAAATATAGTATTTAATGATGTATTTATCAATGTAAAAATAAAAATACACTCAAATACATTCTGAAAAAATGAAAATAATCAGAAGATATAGATTTAGGCTCTGTGGCTTGGGAGGTAACTTTGTGCAAGTCACTTCTGCTCTCTACCCAAATTTTCTTATTTACAAAATTGAACTCATAATCTCACCTTCCTTCCTACCCAGCACTGCTTTTATAAGGATCAACTTGCATGACGGATATTAAAACAACTAGCCCGAGTTTTGGTGATTCCTATACCCACCACTATCGCCATCTTGCTGCCTAACAGACCATTTGAAATATAAAATATTTTTGTGGATATGACCATAATTCCAAATAACACAGTTTTTAAAAAAATCTTTTAAGGCAATCCTTTAGGATCTTCTGAAATGTATAGGCAATTATATCAAACATTGTTTTCTCCCTGGTTCCAATAATCCTTCGGCATAAGCATTTATTCCATATCTCTCTATATGGACCCAGTTTTTCTCAATAGCAGAACTACAATGCATCCTTGGGTTTTGTAAATGATTCAGCACACTGTCTATAGAAAAAGGATCTGTAGCAAGGAAGTCATCATTTCTTAGGAGTAGAAGATGAAGAATAAGGGAATTGAAGATGAATGAAAAGGGGGGACGGGAGAAAAAGAGCAAACACTTATCAGAGATGAAAGTACTTGCAGGCAGGACTCATGAAGTCTGATCAATTGGGCAGAACTCAAACCTGGGAATGATAAATATGAATGCTGAAACCACAAGTGCTCTGGTGGACTTCTTTCTTCTGGGTGGAGGAGGACAAATGAGCCACCCATCACAGAGATCCAATCGGGATGACAGCAGCGGCTTGACAGTGCCTACTCTGTAGTATGACATGTAGTTTCCACCTAGGGAGGTGTCAGGGGGGCAGCATGCCAGTGCGCGGGTCTGATGTCAAAGGGGTGGATTCCGTCCGACTTACAGCTGCACCAAAGGCTGACTTTGGCAGCAATTCCCGGGCTATAATTTTATAAACAGTCTTTTCTTTCCAGACTTCCAGTATGAATTTAGACCTCAGCACAGATTCTCTCTCACATCTTTATTTTGTGTCATCACATTCTAATCCGATGACAAACAGTTGGTCTGAGATTTCAGTATATTACTATATTAGTGCAATTTATGTCCTGCGTGGAAGCTGATGATGTGTAAAGACCATACTGTGGGTTCGTCTGGATTCTAATCCAGCACCTAAACGGAGAGTGTTGCTCTGCTGATCACGACGGCACTTTATTATGAAATCAAATGGCTAGTTTGTGACACTGGCTCACCAGAAGGCACTGGCAGCAGTATTAATCACATTTCCCCCAAACTGGGCCAAAGCTCTGCAATTCACCTTGGAATGATCATCATCACCATTTATCATCCACTTGTATCATGGCTGCTGGATAAGGTGTACTAGAAACAGAATTTTAAAATTTATAATCAGTCTTAAAAATAGCAAGATGTTACCATGGAGTGGACCCAGTGGAGGAAGGTACATGACAACCACCTCCGTGTCTCAGAAGGCTGCCAGTGGCCAGCCAAGGAGGCAGGGGCTTGACTCCCCCTGCTCAGAGAGGGAGGTGGTGCTGGATGTGTGGTGAGGCTTAGTGGATGCGGTGACTGGTTTGCCAACCAGTCAGTGAAGTGCATCCTCATTCCAAATCTCCCTCAGATATTTATTTTAAAAGAAACCTGCACAACTTGAAAACCGTGCACCCTCTTGCATACCCCAGAAGGAGACCTGAAATAGATGGGCTCAAGAAGAATAGAAAGTATATCAATTTCCATTTTCATCAGCCCACGCCTGCTCATTTTCAGAGAGGACAAATCACGCAGAAAGCAATGCCAAATTACTCATGAATTAATGATAATTTCACTGAAGGGACAACTGATGTCTCATGATGTTCTGCTCAAGAGTATGTGTGCAGAGAGTAGTTTATACCTGAACTGGATCATGTAATCCATGGGGTCCACAGCCTCACTCTTGGCTTCCTGGTTGGGGCTGTGCATATTAAGAAAGACGTTCTCTTGCAGGCAGCCTTAACAATGGTGTGCCTCCGCAACGCTCCATGGGTATTCGTCCTGCCTTCTTGTGGCTGGTCCTTCAATCCTTGTTGAGATAAAAGAGATCCTGTGGTACTGCATGGTGTAAATTCTCAGCTAATTCAACTCTTTGCACAGTAGTCTCTGGTAATTATTTTTGCAAGGTCAACCGGTATTTTTCAGGCCATGTTCATTCATTGGAGGGCTGAGTATTATGGGGTTGGAGAGGGACTATTTATTTACTTTGTGGAACTATCTCAAAACTTAAAAAGAAGCGGAGTAAATGATTAGACCTTTGGTTATGAGACCCACCTCATTTTTTTTCCTGATGTGTAAAAGGCAGATATTGAGTTACTGGGGATTCTTTTCCTCCAATGTTCCTTATCATCTTTAGGGATATGATGTCAGTGGATTACTGTCAGCAGAGGTATGTGATAAAAGTACATTTTCTACAAGTGTATATCAACTTTCTTTGAGTTTGGCTTTATAAATTTTCCCCACTGGAAATATAGGAGCCATATAGAGAAATTTGAATTTCCTAGTAGCCACATCAAAAAAGTAAAAAGAAACAATGCAAAAAATTTTAATAAAACATTTTATTAGACCCAGTGTATCTAAAATATCATTTTCAGCCCATAATTTAAAAATAATAACTAACAGTATATATAACATTCTCTCATTTATAACATGTCTTAGAAATTCACGTGTACAACACATCTCAATTTGAAATAGCCACATATGCTCAATAATATGTGGCTAATGGCTACATTAAAGGGAACAGATCTAGACCAAATAGGATTACCCTGTTTTCAAAATGTGTTTGTTATAACAGTATACCTCTGTAAGATTTTATAACATACAATATTAGATGATTATTCTTCCTTTATAATAGCATGACAGAAACTGGTACTAAAGAAGAAAAAGATATTTACAACTGTGAGATACAGTTTTTTATTATTTCTCTCAAAATCATATTATTTTCAACTAAACAAAGTCACATGGTAAGTAAGCTCTGGATCAAAATTCAGAAATATTATCTCTAAAATGTGAACAAAGTTGACAATTGCTAAGTGTCTGGGTCATGGTTTGGTTCCACTTATTCTTCCTAGTAAAAAATTGTGTTCCAAATTTGTATTCACTCTGGTAAGAAATGGTTGTCATATCAAGTTGGCTAGTTAATCAGAGTTTAAAATCTAGGTTAAACTTCTGCACAGCAAAGGAAAAAATTAAGAGTATGAAGATAGGACCTATAGAATGAGAGATATTTGACACCTGCTTCTCACAATATCTAGAATATATAATTTAAAAAAATACCCCCAAAGCATTACATAATTAATAAATGGGCAAAAGTACTAAGGAGACACTTCTAAAAAGATGTGCAACATCCCTGGGAATCAGGAAAATACAAATCAAAACTACACTAAAATATCACCTCACTCCAGAAAGAATGGACATTATCAGGTGTACAAATAATAAGTGTTGGTGAAAAGGTACACTCATACATTGTTGGTGTATTTCTAGAGATTGTACTAATTTGGACTTCAAATTAGTACAATCTCTAGAAAGCATTAGACAGATTTCTTAAAAAAACTAGAAATGGAACCACCAAATGATCTGGCTGTCCCACTCCTTGGTATGTATCCAAAAAATCTAAAATCAGCATAATATAGGTATGCAGCCATATCAATGTTGATAGCAGCACAATTCACAATAGCCAAGCTATGGAACCAGACTAAATGTCCATCAACAGATGAATGGATAAAGAAAATGTGGTATATATACACAGTGTTGTACTACTTAGCCATAAAGAATAATGAATTATATTATTTGCTGATAAAAGGAAGAACTGAAGACTATCACGCTAAGTGAAATAAACCAGACCCAGAAGTCAAGAGTCACATGTTTTCTTGCATAGGTGCAAGCTAGATTAAAATGAGGGAAGGAATATATGAAAAAGAGAAAAAAGAAAACAAAAGTGTGTGTGTCAGGGGGAGAATCCCATAAAAATAAAAGAGAGATCAGAGGAGTAGAGAAAGAGGATTGAAGAGGGAGGAGCAGGGAGGAGGGACAAGAAAGAGGAAGAACAGTGGAATGAATCTTCCTAAAGTGAAGTATGCACATACATAAATACACTGCAGTGAATTTCATCTTTGTGTATATCCATAGGGGACTAATTTCTCCAAGAATTTTAAGTAAATAGAAGAAAGATCAACATAATAGAGGAAAGGGAATGGTACATACTGGTACCTGAATTGGAGCAAATTATATTCATGCTTGTATAATTATATCAAAATGAACCCCAATGTTAGTTATATCTATAATGAACTAATAAAAAATACCTAGGCCAAAAAAGAGAACAAGAAATTATATTTAATTCTTGTATTTATAAGATGAGAGGTTGGACTAGAATCAAGGATCAGTAAACATTTATTTAGGCAGAATAAATATTTTAGGTTTTGTGGGCCACACACTGTGCTCTGAGACTCAACGGTGCTGTATCAGGAAAGCAGCCATAGAAAATATACAAATGGGTGGGTGTGGCCAGATATGGCCAAATGGCAGTTTTTTGATGATCCTGGGACAAGGACAATAGGCCTGTGCCACTTGTATACCTCCTAACCCACATGAGCCCATTGCCCCCAGGACTCCCACTGAGCTTAAGCCCAGCCTCACTTTTCTCTGCAGGATAATGCTGCAGGCACCCACTACACATCATTTAGATTTGATATATTGTTATGGTTTGGATATCTCACATGTGAGATAATTCGAGAGGGTTCAGAGGGGAAATGAATGGGTTGTGAGAGCCTTAATCCCATCAGTGAATCAATCACCTGATGGGATTAATTGAGTGGTAATTAAAGGCAGGTGGGGAACTGGGGGCGTGGCTTTGGGGTATATATTTGTATATGGCAAGTGGTGTCTCTCTGCTTCCTGATCATTCATCATCATGTGAGCTGCTTCCCTCTGCCACACTCCTCCACCATGGTGTTCAGCCTCACCTCCAGCCCTGAGGAATGGGGCCGGCCTTCTATGAACTAAGACCTCTGAAACCGTGAGCCCTCAAATAAACTTTTCTTCCTCTACAGTTGTTCTGGTCAGATTCTTTTAGTCACGGCAGCATACAAGCTAACTAAAACACATATGATTGGAAAATTATTTTTTTTTGACATCTCTAGGTGATTTCTAGAATGTGAGAAATTCTCATTTTTATTACAGATAGGTACTTAAATATTTTGAAATGAAGGAAAAAGTACAATAAAAATACTTTCTGAACTTTAATATGAGGGGAAAGGAAGTTTAAAAAATTGTATGAACAGGTATAAAACCTGTTTGCTGAATGTAAAGCAGTTTTGTTTATTGTTTCAAAAATCCAAGCTTTCTGGATATTGTAAAGCCATTGAATAATAATATAATTATTCATATTTCAGAGTGTTTCTTTTTTAAAATTTTTATTTATTTATTTATTTTTGTATCAGGGATTAAACCCAGGGGTGCTTCACAACTGAGCCACATCTGCATCCCCCCTTTAATTTTTTTTTGTTTTTTCATTTTGAAACATGGTCTCACTAAGTTGCTGAGTCTGGCCTTGAACTTGCAATCCTCCTGCTTTAGACTCCCAAACCAATAGGATTACAGGTGTGTTTTATTTTGAAGTGAGAGTTTTGTTATAGTTTATAAAAGACATTTTCCTACATAGATTTACAAACAAATGTGATTCCCCAGTAGTTTTGATTCTTGATTTTCAAAAGTTCCTGATCTTTAAGTTAAATGTGATATTTTTCAGCAGGAAGAATGTGTTTTTCTTTTCAACTTTTGACAAATTCTATCCAATGTTTAAAAGTCCAGAAATAAAAGATGTGATAATGTAAAAACATGGGGAAGCTGTGGCAAAAGAATAAAAACTCTCTTGCAAAATAAACATATTTTCATAGTTAAAAAAATGTAATATATGCTGGGCACAGTGGTATACACCCGTAATCCATCCCAGTGAGTTGGGAGGCCGAAGCAGGAGGATCACAGATTCAAAGCCACCCTCACAACTTAGCAAGGCCCTGTCTTAAAATAAAATATAACAAAATAAAAAGGACTAGGGTGTAGCTCAGTGGGTTCAATCCCCAGTATGTATGTATGTACGTATGTGTATGTGTGTGTGTTGTGTGTGTGTGTGTGTGTGTGTGTGTGTGTGTGTGTGTATATATATTCTGAGAAAAAAGGCCTGCTACCTGAATTTATCCTAGGATGGGCTACAGGCTATCTACTGACTTCACAATCAATCTGTTTTTAGCAGAAAGATGAAATCTCCTTACCACCATTGGACTTTTAATTTCAAGAATAGGAGTAGTGGCACACCACGCGGCCTTCAGCCGGGCTCGCTCACCGATGGAAATTCCTGCCGTCCAGCCGCACTACCACCCAGCACTGAGGGAGGCAAGTGTCGTCAGCCTCGAAGTCCCGTGAAGCCCCACCTGCTATCCAACTGCCCACACCTGCAGTCCAACGCCCAAGCCCCATCACACTTTTCCAGCCCAGCGTCTCCAGTACTGCCCAGGTAGCCGTCCAGGCTCCAAGTCTGCCACTCCGCCCAGCACTCCCACCTCAACGCTTTGCTGGGCCTTCCCAAACTGACACTCATCGGCTACCTTCCGGAGCCAATCGCTCTGTGAAGAGACCTACTCCTGTCTCTCTGGAGAGCACCAGCAGGATTCCAACTAGTGCAAGTACAGCCCTTGCCAGATTTGCAACCTCAACCATCCAGCCTCCCAAGGAGTATTCCAGCGTTTCCACTTGTCCCAGAAGTGCTCCAATCCCCCAGGCTCCTCCCCTTCCACACTCACATGTCTACCAGCCTCCTCCCCTTGGCCATCCAGCCACACTGTTTGGGACACCTCCACGATTCTCTTTCCATCACCCTTACTTCTTACCTGGACCTCACTACTTCCCATCAAGCACATGTCCTTACAGTCGGCCTCCCTTTGGCTATGGGAATTTTCCAAGCTCAATGCCAGAATGCCTTGGTTATTATGAAGACAGGTACCAAAAACACGAGGCTATGTTTTCAGCTTTAAATAGAGACTACCCTTTCAGAGACTACCCAGACGAGCGCACACACAATGAAGATTCTCGGGGTTGTGAGAGCTTGGATGGGACCTCTTACTATAACAGCCACAGCCACAGTGGGGAAGAATACTTAAATCCCATGCCCCAGCTGGACATTGGGGCTTTGGAGAACGTCTTCACAGCTCCCACCTCAACTCCCTCTAGTATCCAGCAAGTCAACGTGACTGACAGCGATGAGGAGGAAGAAGAAAAAGTGCTCAGGAATTTATAATTTTAAAACAAATATGCACAGAAAATAAACATTTCTTAAAATATACTCTGGGTCAGTTGGTGTGAGAAAAAAAGCCTAGAATCCTTTGCTGAGAGTTTTCAGCCATGATTCGAGGAGTCAAAACCAAATTCTATTCATGTCTTCATAAAATGTTGATTAATGAAACTGGAGTCCTGATGTTTCATCGTAGGAATATTTAAAATATGAAGCAGATTACTTTTATGGCTGAAATTTGCACCAACATGTTATCATTACTTTATGTTGGCATGTACAAAATACAGAAACCTCACAATTGTGTGTGAGGAGAAAGGTAGTATATATCTGGCATAAGAAGTGTGATTTGCATTTTATCTCAGGATACATATATATTCTTAAATAATTTTTGTTTGGTGTTTATATAATACTTATATTGTCAGTTTTTATGTAACATTTTGAAAATATTTTGATAACTTTTAGAAGTGAATTGGGACTCAGTTACTAATTTACACCAATAACCAATTATAAGTTGCAAATGTGTTTTAATGGCACCTGGGTAATTCTTTCAGCTATATTTAGTCATTGCTGTCCCTAAACATTTTTATCATCATTTTAAAATATATTTTTTTTCCATTTGGTATGCATTGTTGTATTTTTGTTATAATTAAATAAACATAGATAAAATTGTTCTTGATGGATGTTTTCTGTTTGGATGATAGAAATAAGTATAATGAATATTGTTCATTTAAGATTATTTTTCATACCACATACAGATATTTATTTTTGTTTAATGGCTTTTAGAATTGTACAGAATCCCATTATCTTGCATGAGACTTGATATTGTATTAATAAAGATGTGCACATACTTATATTATTTCAAAACTGCTTACACATGTGTACATGTAACTTAAACACTCCTATGAAGGGGCAATGGTTCCAGATTTGGTTCAAGCAGCTGTCTTGAAAACCATGAGTTTACTCAAAAGTATATGGAATTTATTTAATCCACAATACACAAAAGCCCCTACTTATTAACCCCTGCTATGGGCAAATGCCCAATTATAGATAGCAAAGACCTTTTGGAATGGGATCAGGACCACTAGAGATGGGATCATGGTAAAAGACAGATCTAGAAGGCACAAAGTGAGTTGATGATGGATAATTGCCACAAATCAGTACACTTTTCCCTCAGTGATCTGTATAATTTGTGTAAATTGAGGTCTTGTTACTTAAACTGGTTGGAAATTGTGTATAGAAAACTGTTTTAAGCTTCCAACTTCTTCCTTTACTAAACCTGCATTTGTTTCTTAAACAAAGGTTGTTAATGTAATACATTTCATCAACCCTATTCTGACTGTACATAAAATTTTCACTCCCAATAAAATTTTTTATTTTCATGTTTTATATTTTTGTTATCACTCAACCCTATGCCATTTTGATGTGGTTAAAGAGCAAAACATGAATTTCTTGCTTGGTAGAGACTAAATATTATATCATTTCACATCCGAACTAGAGCAATATTGGTTGTATATATATTTAATGTCTATTCCTTAGGAGTGATGTATGCAACAATTTGACCCATTTTTCCAGATCTCATTTTAATAACACCTATGTAATTAAACTAGGTCTTCATCATAGACCTTATTCTTATAGAAAAATTGGTTGGGAGAATCACTGTGTAAAGTAGTAGAATGATAATAGAGCATAGTTCAGTATTTCTACCTGTTTTCAGGGTGGTCTTCCCCAGTCTTTTCTCTTAATGGCTGGACTTTTCTTTTAATCTTCTCCTTTTTCTTTAGTGCTGGGATCAGAAGTCAGGAATTTAGAATATTTATAGATCCATGGTATAATTTGGGTTAGGAAATATGCTTATCTCTTATTTAGAAAAGTGCCCAATTGTAGATA